CTTTCACTGGTTAAAGGTTGCAAACCCATTGTCTGGCATAGAACCTTCCCTGAAAATGATGCTGAGCAGTCCTCACCATCTTACCCAAAGTACAGCTGAGTGTAAGAAATCATGGATCAAACATAAGTGTGTTTTCCTTGCTTTTAAAAATTAGTTAGATTTTTTTCTATCTTTAGTAATAATCCAAAGAAATATAACCTGCCTAGAGAACTGTTTGCAAAGGGCCTTCTTGCTTTTGGCTTGTAAGGAATGTATTATCACAGTGGAATGTATAATGTATTTGGGAGTCACAGGAGTGCAGTTAAAGGTCACAGACCTACATTCACAGTAGTATCACTATAATCATTGTGGTAATTCATCACCCCTTTTGTATAATTGTGCATCATTTATTTTGGGCAGCAGTGTAGCATAGTGGTAAGAAACAGGTCTCATAACTGAAAGGTTGCTAGTTCGATTCCCTGCTGGGGTACTGGTGCTGTACCCTCAGGCAAGGTACCTGACCCAGAATTGCTTCAGTAAATATCCAGCTGTATGAATGGATAATGTAAACATTGTAATCTATGTAAGTCGCTCTGGATAAGACTGTCTGCTAAATGACAATAATAATAATAAAAATCTAAAATCCATCCCATTGTGAGCACCCATTGTGCCAATGTGCTAAGGCTAAACAGCAAAGGTTTAGCAATAGTAGTTAATCTTTGGTCTCACAAGTCTGTAGTGTGTGGGAGGCCTTATCAGTCCAGATCAAAGGTGGCATAATTTGATCGCTCACTGTGATATCTCTGAATACAATAATTTCCTGTTTCCTGGTGGTGACACTCACCCCTCTACCCCCAGATGAGCAGCAGACACCCATGTGATAGAAATATAAAAATTAAAATGATTTCCTATCTCGCCCAACCCATTATTAAAAAAAATGACGTACAGTTTAAAAGGATCAGTGATGAGGTTTTATCTGCAAAAGCATATTAAATTTCCCCCTAGTGTTGACTGCATCCCTAGTTTGTAGCTGTGATAAATATCCGTTTGAACTGGTTTTCTCTGACAAAGCTGTTATTGTACTCATCTGTCACTTTCCCAGGAACGCCTGTAATTATGGTCAAATAAATGTTCCGATAGAGGCCTCTTTGTGTTCCTTTCTAAGTATTCAGTATCATGCAGTTATTCCTAAAATCCCTGTCTTTTTCTAGGGGTAGGCCTTTGTTACATGGTACCTGCTACCTGTGACAGGAGCGCAGCACAAATGGCATAAACTAATGTCGTTCAGAAGGCATGCCTACAAAGTAGAGCTGATTTCCTCATGGCTGTGTTGCATTCTTAGATAAATTACTAGTAACCACAGAAAGTAGTGATGAGAGAATGTCAATGGATCTTAATGTTTGTTTACAGCAACTGTGTCAAAAAGGAAGTTAGGTTAGTCTTTGCCTCAAGACTGGATAATTAAGATGACCATAAGGGTGTGAGAGCCCTCTTGCCTTCCAGTCTACAGCATGACTGGTGGAATCAACATATTTGCCCATTGTACCGTTTATGACTTACTTATATAATACACTTGTATTGTAATTGCTAACAAGTATGCGTAGGTGTACAGAGATTGAAGAAGCTGTTATCTTGTACAAAGTTTTGATAGTAAACTTATTTATGCCATAAACTTTATTAGTGGATATCTTGTATATAAGGGTAACACGCATAAACTTGTTAACAATACCGTAGTCACAGTTTTTAAGGGCTCTTTGATTCTGAAGTGTTGAACACAAAGTAGATATGCCAAGACAATAATAGAAGCCCAAAAGGCAAAAAATAAGGTGAAGAAGGTGAACAAGAGTCTGATTCTGGGGAAAAAAGAGAGAAAAAACATGAGATGGAGTCAGTAATTTTAAATTGATTTGAAATTGAATATTCTGCCCGTTGGTTGCAAAGTTTATTAACAAATATCACGTTTGATATTAGCATCCAGCCAGAGACACCCCCTTGCTGCGAGACACAGGCAGCGTTCCCTCTCTGCACAGGCCAGTCCCATTCACCATCACACCTCCCTGCACTCTGAGCGGTGCAGGCTTGCCTCGTTCACCGCGGAGCCGGCACGCACGAGAGCCGGGCTGGAGGGAGGAGCCTAGGGTGGGGGTGGCACCAGCATCGGCCCATACGGGCGTAGCCTGGTATGGGCCTCCCTCCCTCCCTCATGCATCCAGCTGAGGTGTGCACCACGGAGGGACGCTGATCTCCCGGCTGTCTCACCGTTGTCTCACGGCTGTCTCGCAGCGGTGCCACAGCGTCACGGCTCATAGACTGTCTCATCAGCTGTGTTTGTGATCCCCGCGGTGGCGCCTTACTGCAGACACTGTGCGACAGGAGGCGTATGCTGTGTACAGGAAAAAGCAGCACTGCTGTGAAGCAGACACATCTGGTGTGGGGAATTACATAGTTAAAGTTGGCGAGGCATTGCAGGACTTAATTTTCCAAGTCAGTATTTGCAAATGATTCATATTCAGAGCTTATCAATCCCCAACATGTATAATCACTTTTCTATTGAACGTGATCCCTTTATATTGGAGATATGTCAACCACGTAAAGCCATTTCTGCTCTTTCTGGGCATGAGGGGAATACCTAAACTGTGTTGTTTAGCAGCAGAGTAGGATTCCAGTGGGAAGTGTACTGACAAGACGCTAATCAATTCTGTGAACATGGAGGAAACGGGCTGAGTGAAAGGGGAGTACCATGGTGCTTTAGGAGACTCAAAACAATGAGACACTTGTTTCGTGTACAGTTTGGGTTGAATTTGGCCTCACTTTGCCTTGTAAATGAGGCAGAGTGAAACATTTGAAAGTGTCTCCATCAAAGGGTGGTTTCTAAGAGTAGGACTGGGGATCCCTTCGCACCCTGTGCCATTCCCAGCGCCCGAAACGCCCTGCAATTCAGCCTGTCAGCTTGCATTTCCATCCTCATTACGGGATAGCCGTGCTGCTTTTCCTCTGGTGAGCAGGAAGCTAAGTGTCTGGCTCACTTCCTTAGCCTGAGCCCCTGTGATTGCAATGCCAGCGCTGGTTCCATCATGAAGAAACAGGTAGTCCCATCTCAAACCCCGGAGTATGTTGAACAGGAAAGCCAGCGCAAGAGTCCCGTTCAGTTTTACAAACGTGACACATCTGCGAACACATGCAATCAGCATACATGTGTTTTATTTTTATGCGTGTGTGTGTGTGTCTGTATGTGTATTTATGCATTTGGCAGGTGTGTGTGTTTATGTGTGCGCGCGCTGATAGCAACTTTGCAAAAGCACGTTAGCAGTGTCAGCAGTCCTGCTTCCGTCATGCTCGTGCAAACACAACGCGCTCGGACCACCACATTCAAAAAAAAAAAAACCACTGACAGCACGCTAAGCTGTTCTAGGAAAACTAAACCCTGTCATACAAAGAAAATGTTATTTTACGTGTAAGAGCAGAGTAATCGTTACAGCCATGGTTCTTTTAACCACTCGCCAACTGTCTGTTTCAGCTGCATTCACGAACAATCTGTTTGAACTGCATGTTTCCGAGAGTGGAGGAAGTAAACATCCGAGTCCCATTTTTGACTGACAGATATTAAAATTATCTGCGGTTATCAAATACTCAGCTTCTACCTGTTATTTTGAAAGACTTTGTCAGTTGGAGTCATAAAATGTGTGAGCTGTAATTGTTCCCGTTTCAGTGGTTTCTAATGAGAAGGCAGTTGTGCCGGGGGGCTAAGCGCTAAGGCGGTCTCGCGCCGGTGTTTTTCAGAAACTGGCAGCGGAGTGTCGGAGCGCCGGCTACAGCGGCATCCTCGTCCCGTACAAGTGCGACCTGTCCAGCGAGGAGGACATCCTGTCCATGTTCTCCGCCATTAAGACCCTGCACCAGGGGGTGGACGTGTGCATCAATAACGCGGGACTGGCCCAGGCGGAGCCCCTGCTCAGCGGCAAAACCAGCGGCTGGAGGACCATGGTCGATGTGAGCGCCACGCCCACACTGCACAGTGCCTGCGCGATACTGTGCGTGTGGTTTGCTCTGTGCACACTACACAGTCCGTAAACCACAGTGCAGACTCAACACACTACATACTGTCAATGGGCACATTGTACACGGTGTGTACAGTGTGCTGTGCATACTCTCCACAGCGCACACTCTTTAGCATGTGGGATGCTCACATGCCGTAGCCCTGTGTTCATTTTAGTGCTGCAGATGCAGGAGGCAGCGCTGCTCTTAGACGCAGATCCAAACTTCAGTCCTTCTCTGCTTAACAGTCCTCTCTCAAATAAGGACAGTGGCAACCTGGATCATTCTCACTTTGTTGGGCGCCTACGTGATACGTCAGAAGGGGAAAGCCAGTTAACTCCCGGTTGGGAAAGGGTTCTTGAAGTCTGTCAGTGTTCTGTTTTTTTCAGGTGAACATTCTAGCACTGTCGATCTGCACACGTGAGGCTTACCAGTCCATGAAGGAGAGAAACGTGGATGACGGACACATCATCAACATAAACAGGTATGGCACAACTGCTGTCTGTCTAATGCTGAGAGCTGTCAACCACTCACCTCCGATCAAGTGCCTCTAACCACTCCAGAGAGAGCTCAGATACACATGTTTATGTATGCATATGCATTTTATATTTAATATGTAGGATCTCAAAATGAACAACTGTCCACAGCTAATTTTAATGTGTATATAGAGAAAGTCTGTGTACAGTAATTACATTAATTACTGTATTTTAGTTAGTTGACATGGTTGTTGAAATGCACATGAGAGGTAGAGAGAACAGCAGGAATCTAATAAACTATGGTAAAGGTGAAAAACAGAGCCTTTCTCTATGATGTTCAAGGAGATACCCTGTGCAGAATCTTAGTGCAGGCCAAGAGTTCACATATTAAGAAGAAAAATAATTGTATTATGTACTGAACAACGAACAACTTCAGATAAATCTTTGATTAATTTCTTTGGAATGCTTTGCCTGTTAGTAACAACACTATTAATCAACTAATCTTACTTTGCCTTTGTGTAGTGTAGTGGTAAGGTGCAGGGCTTATAACCAAAAGGTTGCTGGTTCGATTCCCCACTGGGGCACCACTGCTGTACCCTTGGGCAAGGTACTTAACCCCCAGTTGCCTTAGTAAATATCCAGCTGTATAAATGGATAACATGTAAAAATTGTAACATATGTAAGTTGCTCTGGACAAGAGCATCTGCTAAATGCCAATAATGTAATGTAAATGTATTATGAGTTTGGGCCTTTCCTTTACCTGAACATTTAAGCTGGCACAGTCCCGGAAGTGCACTGTCGGTCTGATTGCTTCTCTCTCATGTCTGTAGTATGAGTGGACACAGGGTGGTGCCCAGTGGTGATGTCCACTTCTACAGTGCCACCAAGTATGCAGTGACCGCGCTCACAGAGGGTCTACGGCAAGAGCTCCGAGAGGCCAAGACTCACATACGAGCCACGGTAGGAGAATCCTTGCATACATACTACCACCCAACGCTCATATATACAGTACAGGTTACAATACCAGTATTCCAACACTGACATACAGTACCAGTCAAAAGTTTGGACACAGCCGATTAAGATTGAGAAACATGCATTCAAAGACATGTTGATTTGAAGACGTATGCTTAAATGCTTGAAATTTGTTTCTTAGACAAGTATGAACAGTGAAATTGATGCCTATGTATGAATTTCTTTCCAAAAAACATCTTAATTAAAAATATAAAAGTACATGGTACTGTATATACACAAATCAAAGGAAGAGCATTCTTGCACTTTTATACAGGTCACAGTGACCAAGACCAAGAGCCAAGATGTACAGTCTCTTTTTACTCATGCGTGTATTGTAATGCATGTGAATAAGCAAACTGAGTGTTTCAGTGACAAGACCTGGGAAACTGGCAAACATATTTTGTGGGTGCATTGTCCTTAATTTGCATTTTTTCAAAAAAAAAAGAGAATATTTAAGTTGAAAACCATTAGAAAAGCTAAGAATCTGTAGGCACTATTCCATCCCACTGATACCTGTTTTTTCTTCTGTATGCTTTCTCTCTTGAAGTCAAGCAATGTTTTCAGATCAACTGTAAGGTGTGCTTATTTAAAAACAAAAATGTGCAGTTGTGTGTTCTGTAGTAATTTGTGCATGTGTTATGTATTTTAGTTTTATACATGAAGGGTTTCCATAAGTCTTCAAAAGTTAAAACAGGACTGTAACATTTGAACAAAAATGTGCTTTACACAAACTGTATACATGGTGTCTTTATCTTCACTGCCAGTGTATATCCCCGGGTTTAGTGGAAACCGAGTTTGCGTTTCGGCTTTACAACAACAACCCAGAGAAAGCTGCTGGCACATACGAGAGCATCAAGGTGAGACAGCAGAAAGTCTACTCTCAGATTTTGTCACCTACAAACATGGGTCCTGTGCGGAGCAAGAGCATAGTGGAAATCCTACCAGTTCAGAAACAGTATGAAACATAGACGCAGCATTTAGTTTTTGGTTCAGTTTTAAGATTTGTTTGTTCTCCTTCAGTGTTTGAAAGCAGATGATATAGCCAGCGCAGTCATGTACGTCCTCAGTGCACCCCCGCACGTGCAGGTAAGCGTGACTTTGGTTCATGTTCGCCACAAAATTCATTCAACAAGGGAGTGTGATCAGTTCTTGTAGATTGTTGAAGTTGCCCACAGCTCAGTAATACTGATATTCAGGTACATGTGGGGGGTGAAATACTTTGCTATTGAAAAAGCATTAGCAAAAAGCCTACAGCAGTTTCTTTTATTGTAAACTTTCTTTTCATTAAAAAAAATAAATAAATACATACATTTTTTCAATCTATGGTTTTGTGCACTTTTATCTCTACCAGCTAGCTTGTACATTGTCTGGCCAACTGTTGAAACTTGTTCATGCCGCACTTCTAATATTGTTGACTCCTTATGTGGCTTTTTGCTTATGTTGTACTCTGCCTCACTTGTAAGTTGCCATTGATAAAAGCATCTGCCAAATGAATAAATTTAAATGTAAATGTATTGCATGAAGACCACAAAAAACTGTTATTTTTTATTTCTTTTGTGCTTTTGTTGACTTTTCATTCCTCTGAACACACTGATGAGCAGAGGCAGATGCTATTGAGGTTTACTCAGCTCAGAGCTTTCAGAGATTTTTGTGTTACTGCTGCTAAATCCAGTGTGAAATACAGATGAGATGGGGTAAACTGTATATTTACTTCAAAGCATCTTCTCTTATATTCTTTGAAAAGTGTCACTGTTCTTCTTATTCATTCAAGCATCTTTCTCATGGGCAGATTGGAGACATTCAGATGAGGCCAGTTGAACAGGTGTCTTAGCAGTACACTCAGAAGAGGCTGGAGCAGTTGCTCAAATCAGCAGCATCAACACCTCAACAGCGACACCTTCTGGGCGCATGTAGTTCTAAAGTGGACTGGAAGGATCGAGCTCAGAGTCCATACCATGGGAATCTGCAGTCAGGCTGTTTTCTGACAAGTGGCACTCTAGTGATTTCAAAACGAAAGAGTACTTCACATTTATTCTGAGTGTTGCAGTACTAGAATGTGTGATTTGTGTGTGCGTGTGTGTCTGTGTGTGTGTATGTGGGTGTGTGCGCACGCGTATGTGTGTGTGTGTGTTTTCAGCTTTTTTCATCACAAATGAATGCAGAAAGGACAACAAAATATGTGTTATGTATTATATTGTGTGTCCATTTTAAAAGATAAATGGGAATACATGTGATTTCTGTGCATGATAGCATCTTTGATAAGTAATACATAATTTGATGGTGATGAGATGTGGCACATAGCCCGAAGAGCTCAAATCCATTTTCTGATTTTGTGTTTTAATAAATGTCAGCTGGCTGGAAAACAAACCTTCCTCGGCATCGATCTCTCATATTGCCATGTCAATCAAACTGTTTTGCTAGCTACCCATGATGTCAATCAAAGGTACCATTCTTATGGCCTGTTAGCATGCCAGTGCCTGAAATCTGTCATAGTCACTGTTCTCCACATTGGAACCACTTGAAAAATGTGTCCTTTTTGACACAGTTTTAACCCAGAAGTGTGAAAATGTGTAATTAAAAGCACTACTCTTTTTGAACAGTGTAATGTAATCATTTGTATTCTTAATACACTTTTTTATTAATTGTTACTCTGCTGCAGTTGGCTTCTTTGTGTTGTATCCCATTCTTTCTAATGCTTCTCTTTGTTTGTGCCATTCTGTTTTCTAAAGGAAAACCAAAAGTCGCTCAAATACCTGCTTTAGCTAATCTTAATTCAGATTAATCTCTTCTGCATTTTATGCTAGGCTGGATGCACATTCTATAAAGCCAAATATTTAAAAGCATGGTGTTTCAAGTGTCAGTTTCAGAGGCACAGCTACAAAGAGTTTTCATGAGTCTTCCCAACAGAAATTATTGTATTGTCAGTGGATGCATTAGCTGATTGCAGTAGTGATTTAAATAATGCTCTCATTCCACATCAATAGAAAGGCACTCTTGCTCACTTGTTATGGCTGTGAAATGTGCAACAAAGGATGATTTCGGTGTGCGCTGTCTTGCATTCTAGGTCTCGCCTTGTTAGTAAATTTTGCATGCAGGTTCATTTGAGTTCTGCCTTACCTATCTTAAGTGCATCAGATGCTAAATTTATTTTGGCTGCTATGCTTTGTGGGGCTATACACTGCTTTTTTACCTCATCAAATAAGCAATGCAGGACAATAAAAGAATAAGCAAAGTGTTTGGGTGGTTTTAAAATTACTCACAGGTCTGACTGTATTCCACCCCAGCAAGCGTGCTATGGTTTTGATAGACACATGAGAGCAGAGCCCTCAACCCAGAAACAAATTTTGTTTTTAGGTGACAACACAAGGCCAGATCTGTGCATTTGTGTCCTATGCATTTCCACACACCTTAGTGTTGTCAGTGCAGATACATTATACTTTCATTTAGAAATGTATCAGATGTGCTCAGTATGAGTTTATTTTCTAGCTGTTCCAGCTGTAGAAAGTGTCTAGTTGTAGTTGTGTAGGGGTGGATTACTGGATCAGCCCGTGAATATGTAGGCTGTAACACATGGTCCATGATGAATAACCCCTAGTGTTTGTGGTCGCCGGTTTGAATTCGTTGCGGTGATTGTCCATCAGCGGTAACCCTTGACACTGCAGCACACTGTGGGGGGAGGGCGGTGTCGCTACTGTTAATGGAAAATTGCTAAAATGAAACGCTACCAAAAAAAGAGGCAGGAACGTCGGTGTGGTTCGACGACAGCGAAAGGTCAATTGAACCACATTGATCATGTCCAATCGGAAAAAAATCTGAATTGACCAAAAATGTAAACACACCCCCCTTTTCCACATTGCGTTCATTGCGTGAAAAACGCGTCCAAAGATCTGCAGTGATGTCAGTCCGGGGCGGAGGCTGTGGAGACATAGCGCAAGAGCACTAGCAAAGCGTAGGTCAGCAGTATTTGCATTGGCGACTGCAAAATCGAAAGTTTAAAGTCATATTTTACACGCGGGAAAATATTTGTATAATATGGGAAACTGTCATACTGTAGGACCAAACGAAGCACTGGTGGTTTCAGGTACGATATTCTCGCCTTCCTTTTTAGCTAACAAGCTAACTTACCTAGCCAGCTTCCTCCCCCTTTATTTGTACCGTAAATGTTTTGCTAATCTGTTGTGCTAGCTAGCTAAGCACTGAACAGTGCGTGTTTGTAAGGCTCTTTAAGAAGCCAACTGGCTCATCAGTCGGCTAATGTGATCTTACTACAAATTCAGTGTCTCTACAACGCGTTAACGGTAGCTGGCGTACTGCTTTATATTGACTTTTCATTGTGAACCATAGACCAGCCAGCTGGTGCATAGGAATACCTTGCCAGCTAGCTAACGCTAACATAGTTGACAATGTATGTAAAGAAATGTCATGTTGACTTGCCGCAACATTCTTATTGTTTGTTTGCTAGCTAGATAGCAAACTGTCAGTATTAGCTAGCTAGCTTGCGTTTCAGCTCTAGTTAGCCTGACTACTAGTTAACCGTGGAAAGCTTGCTATCTAAACATAGGAAAGCAGTGGG